TAGTTTCACAAATCGTGAAATCATGAAACTATATTCATCAGATCGTTAACTATAGTTAACGGTTTGTAAACTATAGTTTACAAATCGTGAAACTGTATTGATCAGATAATCTATGTTTTGCAATCGCAAATGATAGTTTTCGGTGTTAAGTATAGTTTACGGTTGTGAAACATAGATTATCGTGTTAACTATGGTTTACAGATGTGAAATATAGATTAACGTTGTTAACTATAGTTTACAGTTCGTTAACTATAGTTTACAACCAATAAACCTAGTTTATCGACTGTGAAACTATGATTATCTCATTTTTGTGAATTTGGCGTGCCATAGACATAAGCTAGGACATCATGAAGACCTTGAATGGAGAATTTCTTTCTCTCTGGCAGAACAAAAACTTGTGTATGCAATGAATCCCTGTCAATTCTTAACCTATGGCTTACTTAAATTGTTCTTAACAGAAATAATCAACAATGGAGTAGGTGATGATGATAAATTGCTGTCTTCCTATCACATGAAGACAGCAGTTTTCTGGGTGATTCAACAAAATACAATATCTCAATGGTCTCCACAAAATCTCCTGGAGTGTTTCTGGGTCTGTTTTAAACTCATCCTCAAATGGGTGTATGAGGGGATCTGTCCTAACTTTTTCATTCCAGATAACATGTTTCTGAGTAAAATTCATGGCGACAAATAACATCAACTATTTAGAAGGCTGTATAGATTGTATGAGAAGGGTTTAGTAAAATGCTACACAGTCCCTCCATTAAGTCAGATATAGAAGTAAGTCCTTCGAAACCCAAGACTCACCATCTGTACAGATGAACATACTCTGATTTCTGAAGCTGAATTTGATGTATACTTATTTAAAGAAATACATGACAGGGACACACTCCACTCATTAAATCTACAAAATGCACCATCTGTCTACATTTAATAGAACAGATGATAGGTCACCCTTCCTCACACAGTACGGCATCCTTATGTTACAGAAACTTACAGCTTCTGTCCTTCAGAGCCTTGCTTTTATATTACACATAATAACTTGTACACAGAAAAACAAATTGAGGTACAATGCTGACAAAATCTCCATTTACATGCTGAAACTAGCCTCCAAGTTTGGTTTTATTAGTGATATGATGTACATAGCCATGTATTATTACAAAACACTTAGATACCTGAAAGCTTTATCTATTATTTTAAAAGAAGATCAAGGACAAGTTGACACAGCCATATGTGATATGTAGAAATCTAGATGTAGAGATGTATACCGAGGCTGTAGTGGGACAGTCCTGGTCTACTAAGATAAGACAGGCTGTAGCATGGGATATCAACCTTTTTAATAAAATCCATTACATCAGCGAGTTGATACCAGAACAATGGTCTAGTCTACAGATGAAATTGCAGTTTTTAGCTATCCCACCCTTTATCTTGTTATACATGCTAGAGATCTTGTGTTACAGATCTGTAGACACAATGAGAATACAAACAGCTCTAGATGATCTACAGACCCTAGTGCACTATGATCACAGTCATATTTTAGATACACGTCTCAGAGACACATCATGGCAGATTCTGGGGATCTGTCAACAGGTGACAGGGAACCTCCAGGCTGCTCTATACTCATAATAACAAACACTACAGTAATATATTATCAGAATCATTATATTGTTGTACAGACTTTATTTCAGTTAATTGTTGTTTGTAAACTTATTTATATGAATAATATATAAAATGGCAGATTCTGGGGATCTGTCAACAGGAAATCTCCAGGCTGCTCATACCAACAGTCTCTCAGACAAGAACTAATCAACAAAATACAAACAGCTAGTCAGCTACAGAAATGAGAATACAGGACATTTGTCAATGGAATCTCTAAATGAATGGAATAAATGAAATATAAAAATGTGTTAATTTCCACACGTTATCATTTATAATATATAAGATGAGATATGGTTATTTTATTCCAATTTTGGGCTTGCATGTAGTAAAATACAAAATTTTTAGAAAGAGAAAGTTTAAAAGATTGCATAAACTTCATTTTTAAAATAAGGCTTCATATCTACCATTGTTATACTATTGTTTTACCCCTGATGGCAGGTCACTGGAACCTAGTGTTTAGATGCAGCTTACAAATTGAGTAGTGGGGGTTTGACTCTTCCCACTGGCACAACTTTTATGCATTCTTAGTCATGGTGTTTAGTCCAATATGCCATTTGTTTTTGTTAAGAAGTACTTCTGTTTATGTATGAAAGACGTCTTCAAACAGATGACAAAATATACATTTTCTGTGATGATTCACTGTATTCAACTATAATAAAAAGAAAAGAATACATTTTTCTATTTTAATCTTTGCAATTAATAATCAAAAGACAAGACAATAATTAATTTAAGTACTTTATTGATCCCTCTGGTTTATATAATCTTTATATTTGTTTGTAACACTTGTCTCTCCCCCGCAGGAGTATACAGTTAAACAGCAGCGGTAGATCAGGTGTAGTAAACAATAAAACTTACCTGGTAAACAAGGTCAAATACTGTATATAAAACAAAACATAGACATTGGTCAGGTGTACAGTATAATCATAATAATACTCAGGTAAGATATATCAGACATAAAGGCAAAACATCTATAAATCATACAATTTACAACCTAGGTATGTATGATGTTTCCCACACTGAAAAGTATTAACAAAAAGTATTTAAAAAATACCTAAAAAGGCCCACATATGAAAAAAGTTTTTTAATCATTCTACACTGTAATCCCATTCAACAGTATGCATGCAGTAGCCACACACAGTGTCATTAAAAATGTTAGATTTTATACATAAAAAATAAATTTATTGATGCTATTAAATACCCCTTGGTAATATTATACTTCAATGTAAATTAGTTGAATCTGAATGGTCAAGAAAAATTTATTAAAAAACAGTATTACCCGGTGAATAAGGAAGCCACATCCTCCAGCATAGCAACAGTCAACATTGCTGACGACGGGTGATATTCCAAAAAACAGCACGCTTTCTTATTACTGAGCAGAATTTATGTGCGCAGGTTCATTGTTATATGTATTTGTATAAAACATTCAGTATAGTATAATAAATATAGCATGTAGATGATTGTAACATTGAAAATTTTCACCCCTCGAAAAACATTGCGCCTCGGTTGACAATGGTTTCCTTGGGGTGAAAATGTTCAATGTTACACTCAACTACATGCAATATTTATATAATGTCTGCTTAAAATAACCAATGAATAACATTAATAACTTTTCAACATTCAGTGAAGGAAAAAAGAAGAATTAATCATAAAAGTGATTTTTATTTTTCATAACAATATTTTTAATGCCATAAGAAAGAGAATGTAAATATTTTTTCCGTTATTTCCTGATTATGACAATGAGCACACGGCGGGTGTGACCGGTCAGCAGGGGATGCTCACTCCTCCATGGCACCTGATCCCACCTCTGATGTTTCGGAGGTCCGTGTTTGCAGATCTGCTCTTGTTTTGTATATTTGTTTAATGGACGTTGAGATTGAATACTGTTCGTTATTTCCATATCCTTATTTAAACAATTTGCTCATAAAATATAAATAAATAAAACAAATATATAATAAATTCAACAAAAAAAATTATTTATAAAGACATTGGTCCCTGCAGGAAGAAACCACTAAAATTACACTTAGTAGTTTACAGACTACTTTCTGTTGTAGGATGATTCACTTCCTGTCACTTCCTGTTATTCTTTAACAGACTGGTAATACTCGACCAGGACTTTCCAGGCATTAGGAGCCATGAATCCGTCGGGCGGGTCCTGGCCTTCCCTGGCAAGCTTTCTCATACGAGTTCCCGAGATAAATTCATAGTCCTCCTTACGTTCTGGGTTAAAGAAATCCGTCTGCTTTTGTTTAGTGTTATACGCTGCCACTCTTTAATTCTGTAAATAACGAAAAGATAAGTATACATAGGTTTAGACCCCTCTATACTATAAAATCTACCTCGTCTCCGGAGACTACAAACTGTTGGAATTCCAATGCGTGCTAACTGTGCTCCTTTTATTTGACGACCTGTTTTACATTCGTGTGAAGAAAAATTTATTTAAAAAAAACTACATCAGAAGAAAACACATGTCATGGCCTACAACCCAAAAGTCAGATATATCGATGATTTATTTATCAATTAGCAATAATTTGCACTATATGTCAACTCGATTTATCCCAGTGGACTTGAAACAAAAGACACACTTATTCTGCCATATCTGCTTCATATTTGTATGTTTTACTGACTACAGACGACAAATACAAACTAAAAACTAAATTGTATGACAAGCGAGATCACTTTAACTTTTCTAACGTCAACTTTCCTTATATTTATGTAGTACAATATTCCGCTATCATCTACATATGTTGAATATGTCATCCAACTAATTCGCTACTCAAGAGCATGCTCTGAATACGACAAATTTTAAAATCAAGACAGGCTTTTCTTACATAAATATTGTTAGTAATCACAATCTATCACTAAGTCAAATGTAAAATGTTGACATACTGTTTTTCATTCGAATTTTTACGCCATGTATTGTTTTATACTAAATTTCCACTCCTCCGATTATGGCAACATACATACGGCGGGTGCCGGTGCTTGTCTAGTAGGGAAGCTTTCTCCTCCATGGCACGTGATCCCATCTTCGATGTTTTAGTGACCCTTGTCTACTCAGTTTCAAATTAAAATTTGTATGTTTTAAATGGTTTTAATTTGACATTTATAACTCTTCGTTATCTTGAAATTTCATTATAAACTACGACGATCAACTCTTACATAATGGCAATAGACACTTAAAACAAAATCTAAAAAATTAAAACACTCAAACAATAATGTAACTAAACTTCCTACATCAATCAATGGACGGACATTTCCCTGTATAAATTGATTTTTGTTTATACTTTGATTTGATGCAGCTGGCGCATTACCTTGATACGCTCTCTACCTTAAGTATGCTCAAAATGGATTCCATTAGAACTTCACAAATGTAAGTTTTAGATTTTGTTGATAATTTTTAACTTAGGAAAGCTTTCAAAATGTTTTGGAAAATGCTGTTTTGTCATTTTAAAGTATTCTTAAATATATACATGTATTTTTTTTACAGTTGTGTTTGCTAATATATATAGAAATGAAACCAATATGGTGGTCTATTGTTTTTTTACTTTATGTTTTAAAATTACCTCTGTATAATGTATCTGAATGCACGATACAGTGTTAAAAATGTTAACTTTTTGTAACAACTCTCGTAATTTGAATGATTAAAATTTTTCTTTAAACAAATCAACACTTAATAAAGTTGTCAAGTAACATTTCCATATATTTCATTTCACGCAAAATTGTCTAGAGATTTTCCGTTTGCCTGATCATGACAAGTACAAGGTCAGATGGGATGCTCACTCCTCCATGATACCTGATCCCACCTCAGATATTTTTAGAGGCCCCTGTTTATGAATTTTTAAATAATTTTTTTGAGCTCGATATATTCTTCGTTATATTCATTTTTTTATTCTTTGAAATTTGAATGATATTAAGTTGAAAACAAATGATTGATGTAAATAGTTCTTTTTATTAAGAAAAAGAGGATGAAATTGCACTGCATATAAGATATATAAATAGATTTATCTATGATAATTTTAAGTTAAAGACTTAAGTCACATACTGTGTTAGATTGATATATATTGAATTTGTCTTTCGTCATTTCAAGTAAAACAGCCATTCAGGATGTATCAGAGTCAGTGTTTGTGGGACTTTGTTGTAAACTGGGGACCTCACAACTGGTGGCCATGAGGAGAGATGTGGTGGACATCAGTGAGATAATGGAAAACCAAATGATCAGTGGAAAGTGCAGTATGATGTTGAGTGGAAGTCGCAGAGAAGGATTTAGACTGAAAGAATCAGATATGGACATTATGATATGGTCAAATAATCACCGTGTGATCTGGGAATTATCACAGTCTCAGTACTACAACACAAACAGACAGACACTGATCCTCTGTGACTGTTCTGATAGTCCACCAGGATTCACTTTGTTATATTTGTTGTCACCAAGCATGGACAGAGGAATCCAGATAGCGTGTGTTAGAATGAATAACAGATATTATGTATCTAGTTCTAAATACAGACAAATTATGTGTTCTGCATTTCCACTTAATGCATCCCAACATGGACCCTGTGCCAGTGGAATGTTTGGAACAACAGAGTATGATTATGCCAACTGTTTTGTCAGTGACTTTTGGCCTCCATCTGCCTCCCCATGGATAAACAGATGTCACTAATGGCCCCATCGTCATGTTGTTGATGAAGTAGTGAAAAATGGATGTCACTTTGTAGCAATTGGACATAAGCTAGGACATCATGAAGACCACGAATGGAGAATTTCTTTCTCTCTGGCAGAACAAAAACTTGTGTATGCAATGAATCATTGTCAATTCTTAACCTATGGCTTACTTAAATTGTTCTTAACAGAAATAATTAACAATGGAGTAGGTAATGATGATAAATTGCTGTCTTCCTATCACATGAAGACAGCAGTTTTCTGGGTGATTCAACAAAATGCAATACCTCACTGGTCTCCACAAAATCTCCTGGAGTGTTTCTGGGTCTGTTTTAAACTCATCCTCAAATGGGTGTATGAGGGGGTCTGTCCTAACTTTTTCATTCCAGACAACAACATGTTTCTGAGCAAAATTCATGGCGGAAAACAACATCAACTATTTATTAGACTGTATAGATTGTATGAGAAGGGTTTAGCATTCCTGCTACAAAGTCCCTCCATTAAGTCAGATATAGAAGAAGTCCTTCAAAACCCGAAAATCATCATCTGTACAGATGAACCAAGTCTTATTTCTGAAGCTGAATTTGATGTATACTTATTTAAAGAAATACATGACAGGGAAACAATCCAAACATTAAATCCACAAAAATGCATCGCCTGTCTACATTCATTAGAAGTTTTAGAACAGATGATAGAGTCACCCTTCCCCTCACAGTACAGCATTCTTATGCTACAGAAACTTACAGCTTCTGTCTTTCAGAGCCTTGCTTTCAAATTACACATCGAAACCTGTACACAGAAAAACAAATTGAGGTATAATGCTGACAAAATCTCCGTTTCCATACTAAAACTAGCTTCCAAGTTTGGTTTTATTAGTGATATGATGTACCTAGCCATGTATTATTACATGACACTTAGATACATAAAAGCTTTATCTATTATTCAGAAGATCAAGGACAAGTTGACACAGCCTTATGTGATGTGTAGGAATCTAGATGTAGAGATGTATATTGAGGCTGTAGGGGGACAGTCTTGGTCTACAAAGATCAGACAGGCTGTAGCATGGAATATCAACCTTTTTAATAAAATCAATTACATCAGCGAGTTGATACCAGAACAATGGTCTAGTCTACAGATGAAATTGCAGTTTTTAGCTATCCCACCCTTTGTACTGTTATACATGCTAGAGATCTTGTGCTACAGACATATAGACACAATGCGAGTTCAAACAGTTCTAGATGATCTACAGACCCTAGTTCACTATGATCAGGATCACCTTATACCTTTACAGTTCAGAGACATATCATGGCAGATTCTGGGGATCTGTCAACAGGTGACAGGGAACCTCCAGGCTGCTCTATACTCATACCGACAATCTCATAGACAAGAACACTACAGTAATATAAACACAGCTACAATTATCAGAATTATTATATTGTTGTACAGACTTTATTTCAGTTAATTGTTGTTTGTAAACTTATTTATATGAATAATATATAATATGGCAGATTCTGTGGATCTGTCAACAGGAAATCTCCAGTCTGCTTTATACTCATTCCAACAACCTCTCAGACAAGAACCACACCACAAAATACAAATAGCTACACAAATGAGAATACAAATAGCTACAATGAGAAATTTGTCAATGGAATCTCTAAATGTGGAATAAATAAATAATTTATAGAAAGAGAAAGTACAAAAAATTGCACCAACTCCATTCTTAAAATAAAGTTCCATATCTACTAATGTTATACAATTGTTTTACCCCTGTTGATAGGTCACTGGAACCTAGTGTGTAGACGCAGCTTATAAATTGAGTGATGGGGGTTTGATTCTTCCCCCTGGCACAACTTTTATGCATTCTTAGTCATGGTGTTTAGTCCAATATGCCATTTGTTTTTGTTAAGAAATACTTCTGTTTATGTCAGATATCTTCAAACAGATGAAAAAATGAAAAAAAATAGACATTTTCTGTAATGATTCATTGTAATCTACTATAATAAAATGGAAAAAAAAATGCATTTTTCTATTTTAATCTTTGCAATTAATAATCAAAAGACAAGACGAGATTTAATTTAAGTACTTTATTGATCCCTCTGGTTTTATATAATCTTTATATTTGTTTGTAACACTTGTCTCTCCCCCGCAGGAGTATACAGGTAAACAGCAGCGGTAGATCAGGTGTAGTAAACAATAAAACTTACCTGGTAAACAAGGTCAAATACTGTATATAAAACAAAACATAGACCATGGTCAGGTGTACAGTATAATCATAATAATACTCAGGTAAGATATATCAGACATAAAGGCAAAACATCTATAAATTATACAATTTACGACCTAGGTATGTACGATGTTACCCATACTGAAAAATATTAGCAAGTCTATAAAAAATAAAACCTATAAATTCCCACATACAAAAACAGTTTTTTAGGCAACCCAATCCAAATCCACCTTGTGCATACAATAGCCACATGAAATGTCATTAAGCATGTTAAATATGTAAATACATAAAAAATAAATTTATCAATGAAATTAAATAATATTTGCTTATAATTAACAACCACTGAATAACAGTAATTTCAACCTTTAGTGGAGGGAAAACGTTTTATATAAAAGTGATTTTTTTTAAATTAATATTTTTCATAAGAATATCTATCACGGTAGAAGAAAAATAATGTCAATTTATACAATTTGCTCAAAAATATAAACATATAAAGATATAAAATATATTCAACAAAAAAGAAATTATTTATAAAGACATTGGTCCCTGCAGGAAGAGACGACTAAAATTACACTTTGTGGTTTATAGATGGAGGAGGTCCCCTACTTCCTGTTGTGGGATGATGTCACTTCCTGTTATTCTTTAACAGACAGGTAATACTCGGCCAGGACTTTCCAGGCCTTAGGCGCCATGAATCCATCGGGAGGGTCCTGGCCTTCCCTGGCAAGCTTTCTCATACGAGTTCCCGATATAAAATCATAGTCCTCCTTACGTTCAGGGTTAAAGAAATCCATCTGTTTTAGTTTAGTGTTATATGCTGCCACTCTGAAGGGAACAATTTCTAACTGCATTAACCATGGTGCCATCGTGAAAACCATAGGCACCCCCGTGTAATTCTGTAAATAATGAAAAGATAAGTATCCCCTCTATACTATAAAATCAACCTCGTATCCGGAAACTACAAACTGTTGGAATTCCAATGCGAGCTAATTGTGCTCCCTTATTTGCCGACCTGTTTTTACATTCGTATGAAGCAGAATTTATTCAAAAACTTCTACATCAGAAGAAGAAAACACATGTCATGGCCTTCAACCAAACAGTCAGATATATCGATGATTTATTTATCAATTAGCAATAGTTTGCATTATATGTCAACTCCCCAGTAGACTTGAATTAAAAGACACCACTGATTCTTCCATATCGGCTTCATATTTGGATGTTTTACTGACTACAGACGACAAAGGCCAACTAAAAACTAAATTGTATGACAAGCGAGATGCCTTTAACTTTTCTAACGTCAACTTTCCTTATATTTATGTGGTACAATATTCCGCTATCATCTACATATGTTGTACATGTATATGTCTCCCAACTAATTCCCTACTCAAGATCATGACTTTAACTTTTCTAACGCCAACTTTCCTTATTTATTTAGTACAATATTCCGATATCATCTACATATGTTGTACATGTATACTAGTATGTCTTCCAACTAATTCGCTATTCAAGATCATGCTCTGAATACAAGTTTTAAAATCAATAAGTATTGTTAGTAAACACAATCTATCATTAAGTCAAATGTTGACTTACTGTTTTTCATTCAAACTTTTACGCCATGCATTGTTTTATACTAAATTCCCATTCCTCCGATCATGGCAACATGCATACGACGGGTGTGATTGTTTGGTAGGGAAGCTTTCTCCTCCATGGCACGTGATCCCATCTCTGATGTTTTAGTGATCCTTGCTTTTCTCAGTTTCAAATTTGTATTGTTTTAATTTATTTCAATTTGACATTTATACTAGTAACTGTTCGTTATCTTCTAATTTCATAAACTACGACGAAAAACTCGTACATAATGGCAATAGACACTTAAAACAAAATCTAAAAAATTAAAACACTCAAACAATAATGTAACTATACTTCCTACATCAATCAATTGACGAACATTTCCCTGTATAAATTGATTTTTGTTTATACTTTGATTTGATGCAGCTGGCGCATTAACTTGATACTCTCTCTACCTTAAGTTTGCTCAAAATGGATTCCATTAGAACTTCAGAAATGTAAGTTTTAGATTTTGTTGATAATTTCTAACTTAGAAAGTCTTTCAAAATGTTTTGGAAAATGCTGTTTTGTCATTTTAAAGTATTCTTAAATATATACATGTATTTTGTTACAGTTGTGTTTGTTATATATATAGAAATGAAACAAATATGGTGGTCTATTCTTTTGTTTTAAAATTACCCCTGTATAATGTATCGGAATGCACGATACAGTGTTAAAAATAACAACTTTTGTAACAACTCTCGTAATTCGAATGATTGCATTTAACTTTATAAGAAGATAACGAAGCTCAAAAGTACTTTTGAAAATTACATAAACAGAGGCCTCTAAAAATATCAGAGGTGGGATCAGGTGCCATGGAGAAGTGAGCATCCCCTCTGACCTTGTACTTCTTGTCATGATCAGGCAAACGGAGAATTTCTAGATATTTTATGGACATTTTGGACATTTTACCTGCCAACTTTGTTAAGTTTTCATTTGTTTAATCTTCATTTTTTTATTCTTCGAAATTTGAATGATATTAAGTTGAAAACAAATGGTTGATGTAAATAATTCTTTTTATTAATAAGATGAAATTACACTGCATATTGGAGAAAATATAAATAGATTTATCTATGATAATTTTACTTTAATTACTAAAGTGACAAACTGTATTAGATTTATATTGAATTTGCCTTTCGTTATTTCCAGTATGACAGCCATTCAGAATATATCAAAGTCAGTGTTTGTAGGATTGTGTCGTAAAGTGGGGACCTCACAACATGTGGCCATGAGGAGAGATCTGATGGACGTCAGTGGAATGATACAACATCAAATAATAAGTGGAGAGTGCAGTATGTTTGAGTGGAAGTCGCAGAGAAGGATTTAGACTGAAAGAATCAGATATGGACATTATGATATGGCCAAATAATCATCGTGTGATCTGGGAATTATCACAGTCTCAGTATTACAACACAAACAGACAGACACTGATCCTCTGTGACCGTTCTGATAGTCCACCAGGATTTACTTTGTTATATCTACTGTCACCAAGTGTTAAAATGAATTATAAATATTATATTTCTAGTCAAATCACGTGTTCTGCATTTCCACTTAACACATCCCAACATGGACCCTGTGCCAGTGGAATGTTTGGAACAACAGAGTATGATTATGCCAACTGTTTTGTCAGTGACTTTTGGCCTCCATCTGCCTCCTCATGGATAGACAGATGTAACTCATGGCCCGAGCCTCATGTTGTTGATGATATAGTAAAAAATGGATGTCACTTTGTAGCAATTGGAAATAATCTAGGAAGTCATGAAGACCATGAATGGAGAATTTCTTTCTCTCTGGCAGAACAAAAACTAGTGTATGCAATGAATCACTGTCAATTCTTAACCTATGGCTTATTTAAATTGTTCTTAACAGAAATAATTAACAATGGAGTAGGTGATGATGATAAATTACTGTGTTCCTATCACATGAAGACAGCAGTTTTCTGGGTTATTCAACAAAATATAATACCTCATTGGTGTCCACAAAATCTCCTGGAGTGTTTCTGGGTTTGTTTTAAACTCATCCTCAAATGGGTGTATGAGGGAATCTGTCCTAACTTTTTCATTCCAGAAAACAACATGTTTCTGAGTAAAATTCATGGCGACAAACAACATCAACTATTTATTAGACTGTATAGATTGTATGAGAAGGGTTTAGCATTCCTGCTACACAGTCCCTCCATTAAGTCAGATATAGAAGAAGTCCTTCAAAACCCGAGACTCATCATTTGTACAGATGAACAAAGTCTGATTTCTGAAGCTGAATTTGATGTATGCTTATTTAAAGAAATACATGACAGGGACACACTCCACTCATTAAATCTACAAAATTTCATCACCTGTCTACATTCAATAGAACAGATGATAGGCGCGTATATAGGGTCACCCTTCCCCACACAGTACAGCATTCTTATGTTACAGAAACTTACAGCTTCTGTCCTTCAGAATCTTGCTTTCAAATTACACATCAAAACCTGTACACAGAAAAACAAATTGAGGTATAATGCTGACAAAATCTCCATTTACATGCTGAAACTAGCTTCCAAGTTTGGTTTTATTAGTGATATGATGTACATAGCCATGTATTATTACAAGACACTTAGATACATGGAAGCTTTATCTGTTATTAAGATAATGAAGGTCAAATTAGCACAGCCATATGTGATGTGTAGGAATTTAGATGTAGAGATGTATACAGATGCTATAGGGGGACAGTCCTGGCCCACAAAGATGAGGCATGCTTTTGCATGGGATATCAACCTTTATAGTAAAATCCATTACATCAGTGAGTTGATACCAGAACAATGGTCTAGTCTACAGAAGAAATTGCAGTTTTTAGCT